TTTTCCAGGATGTAACGCAGGTTGAAAGGGTTGTTGTTGTTTGCCATCTAAAGAAAATTTTGCAAACTAGGTTATCTATCATGTTTAATAATTAATTAGGCCTTTAATTAATTATCTCCCACTATTTTTAACAAATCAATAACCCTCGATATTGATTCGGAGATTTCCGGCGAAACCTCTAGTGGGCCAAGATCCATATTTCATTATCTTGCGTTCCGCTTGGGCGTTACTCCACAAGACAACTATTTAGGTAGGAACATAGTTCCAACTGATGAACCGGGCTCTCAACTTTTGGTCTGGTGTTGGGCGAACAATATTACTACAATCGGACCAGGACACCTTTTCACCGTACTTGTAATTGGCTGAGGCATGTCTTACAAGCAGACTACTTTGGTTAGGAATAGAGTTCCAATTAAATCATAAAGATCCAACTCTTGGCTGGATGAGTGAGTAAAATCATCCGACTTGTCATTGATGACCCCAACTTACTGCCTCTGAGTCGTCCATCCATTTGACCGAGACTCAGTGAAGTCTAACCCAACGTGCGACATCGACCACGCTATGGCGGTTCCCGTAACTAGCTTAACATACACCGTACTATGCTCTGCTGAGGCTAAGTACATGACAGTGCACATTAGCCAGATAGGTGTCGGGCGTCAGAAGGCAACAGACTTAATATTCGTGAGGGATTTATAATTTCGATCTCACCTATCGACATGGCCGCGCACATGTCCATTACTAGCGTTCAACATACATTCAACATGCATTCACAAAACGCAGTAAATAAACGTGTAATGATTGTGGCCCCTAAAAGAAAAATAAAACGATAGCTCCCACTGGCTTCTGGGCACTTGGACTTTGGGCTATCTCCATTCTTTTAGATTTCTTCAAACGGTCTTCAAATCTTTTCGTCTTCTAACCACCACGTGAGAAAAGAATCCTCGGTTGAGGTAAGAGAGAGAAATAGATTTACAACAAGAGTTTATGAGATAAGGCACGACACGCAGGCCGTATTATAATCAAATAAACTATAGCCACAATCATCCACCATGCATATAATACATCCACACAAGCAATAGAGATATACATACACCGGGTGAACCGCGCTCACCCCAGACAGTTCTAGAAAAATACTACGGGAGTAAATATTTTCTAAAACTCATAAAATTAAATTAGATGTCCAAATAAATCTAATAAAATTTTATAAAAAGCATTTTATGCATTCTGGATATTCTTCCAGCATAAAAAAATATCCAGAATATTCCAAAAGACCAAAATGCCCCTTTTGCAAAATTATATTCAAAAAGGCCATTAAAATTTTGAAACAATTTTGAAAAAATCATGAAAATTAAATTTCAACTTCCAGTAGTTATTATTAACATTTATAAACCTGGAAATAAAATTTCCAAAATTTATAAATCATTATTTCCAAAATATATTAGTTAAATCTCAATAAGTTATAAAAAGCCATTTAAATTGATTTCGAAAATATTAAATTACAAAAATTTAATATTTTGAAAAACATTATTTTTCTTACTGAGATATAACTTTCCAAAATATATATTAGTCATTTATGTAATTAAAATACAAATATATAAATATTTATAATATTTCGGTAATAAAACCGAGTACATATATAAATATATATTTATTTAATTACTAACTAATATTATTTTGAACAATATATTTATCAACAACCTTATTCAACTTGGAAATAATATTTCCAATTTTAATAAAGTTCATTTTGAATTTTCCCATATTTATTTTCGGTTTTCACCTAAATAAATACAATAAATTCAAAATAGGAAATAATACATTAAAAAATTACAATATAATTTTATCAATCATAAAATGATGTTTTATGTCCAAATAAAATTATATTTACTATTTCTATAATATATATAAATATATATTTCGAAAAATCAAAATATATATATTTATATATATATTACGGGTAGAAATAAAATATATAAATTTAAAATTCATTTTCAATGATTTATTTAAGTCCAATACTTATTCCAAGACTAAATAAAATCATTTTACCAATTTTTGAATATTAATAATTACCAAGTTAAAACTTTGACTTTTAAAATTTTAAAAGTCAAACGTAAAACTATAGTTTTGTACGTTGGCTCCGATACCACTGAAAGGTAACCATGCAAGGATAGGCAGCGGAATATAAAAATTTTAACATCCTAACATGATTATCTTGCCCAGAATCACGTACTTAAACTTATAGTAGTAAGAAATTTGTACCTTTCTCCGTAAGCGGTAGAAACGAAGAAGTCGTAGGAAGAGCGTTGAAAGTGCAAACGTAACCGTTCAAGCGTCCGGTCTCCAACTTTGACACACGAACAACGCCGGAGTCTATCACAATCTTTATGCTAGTAAAAATTATAGTAGTATAAAATATAAAGATCAAAATTTGGGATAATAATAATCTTGTATATTTCTATAGAAAATATTTCCAATAATATTTAGAAAATATTATAGATATTTTCTATACACAAAATGATATATGTGGAACCAAAAAAAATATATTTTATCTCACTAGAAAATATTATGGCCGAAAGTATTCCAAAACTAATCAATTGATGATCTCCTCCCATTAAAATGAAATTGTCGTGTTATTTAAAACAAAGATTACAAATAGATTAATCATACTTTGTCATTAAGCAAAAGGTTAAAACATTATTAGCTCCACTAATTTCAATCATGGAAATTTGATCCTTTAAAATCTCCACTTGGCCGAACAATAATATGAGAAGGATTTGTGAAATTCTTCTCCACTCAAATGTTTAAAGTGTATTTTATTTGACATAAAAAATTAATATAAAATTAATTTTAAATCAAATAAAATACCCATATCATTTTTAAACAAGTATACATATATACTTTAATTAGTTTATGTCAAAATAATTATTTTCATAATTAAAATGACAAACCAAAATAAAATATTCAACATATAATATATATATATATATATATATATATATCGGTATTTATATATGTAAATATATCACCGAATGTTTCACATATATATAGTATTATATTCCAAAATATTTTATTTTACTATTTTACAAATATTCAAATCACTTATTATCTCGTTGTTTAATCCTACTCCTTAAATTGTTCAAAGTGTGTGACCCGTATAGGCACTTATAAAGCAGGCCACAGTATTGGCTCTGCACCGATACTATAAGCAATAAGCGGTATCTAGCAACACATTATTGCCCCCAGATTATAAGTTAAGACGTTTGCACCGTCAAAACCTTTCCACGACTCAGACTCCGTGTAACTATATCCCTTTGTCTCAATGTCTAAACTTAATGCAAGGGATTAAAAAAATCCAGCTTGTATCCATTAAGTCATTCACTGATTTATCAAGTCTGACTAATAGGAACAGACATCATAAAAGCATCTCAGCATGGCCATGCAATTTCCTTAGTCATAACTTATCAGTGGGCCCCATAAGACATTAATCTCTTTAAAAAGAGTAGTGACAAATCCTATGTACGTAATCTACGTTTCTGAATACGCGCTGCGGCATACCCAAAACAAAGCCTGTATACCATCCTTATCTCATATGGCTTAGGACAATGCATCAAAGTATGCGGGTTCACATATGCAGAAAACGTAATACTTCAAGTCAAAGGATAGTTACACCCGTGGTCGCGCTAAAGATGCTTAGAGCATGAACTAAAAATTCAAGCAACATCTTTAGAATGGGTCAGTCCGGGATCCTATTATCTCTAGATAATATCTGCCCATGTGCGGATGCGAACACACCGTCATTGACCATGAGACTAAGTCAAACATCCAACACAGTGATCAGAGTGTACGTAATTGCTATAGGGTGAGAGCAATTATGAGCTGATACCTGTAAATCTATTTATAAATAAAGTTCTACAATCAGAGTAGTCGTCTTATTGTGATAGAGATAAACATCTTTTAAATATAAATCTAGGAATATAATATTTGTTTACATTAGCATGAGATGTGTAAACATATTATATCTGCCTATACGTGATAGGATAACGATGAACAGTTGGCCATCAGGGCACAACTCCAACAGTCGTAACCGGCTCCAGGACCCGGGAAAGCTTTAGCAAACTCTAGTTTGTCTAAAAGCTCATCAACAAAGAAAGAATGAATAAAAAGTTTCCTCTGACTGGAAGCCATGAAGTTCTGTCTCACCGCATCGTCTAAGAATTTGAGAAGGTTATTGAAATAACCGTCAATGTTTAAAAGACCAATGGGTCTATTGTGTAACCCTTCAGAAGCCCACGAGATCAAGGTAAACAAACCGTCCATAGTGTCAACTCCTCCACGAAGAAAAATGAAAGCTTCCACGGCATGATTCATCTCAAAATATTTGTAGTAATTGCTGGAAACTTTGTGCTCTACACCGTACGTAGGTCCATAGACCCGTCTTGTTGCTATGTACCCAGGAATGAAACCTCTAACGAGACCACCATTGGTAAAGACTGTTGAAGCAACAGCTCCTTGAAGGCCAACACTACCTCCTCCATAGGCAAGTTTAATTTTTCGTCTTAACAATCCCTTCCTAAATCTACCGCCGTAGCCATAAACTTTGGATTTCTACCAAGAGAATGACTGCCAAGTAGACCAACAAATGTTATGGTGTAAGGAAGTGTTCGAGAAGTTCCTTCCATATTGTGAGAATGTGAGATACTCTTTCCATAATCGTGATATATATAGTCTCTAAAACCAGACCATTGATGGAAAAGTAATTATCACCAGCCAAAATACGTACAATAAAATGGATTCAAATTACCTGCAGACGAGAACGTACTCGCTAATACTATAGTCTGCTGACGATATGACGTATTGAGACTCTTGAATAGTTAGATTCACTGTCCTAAAACACGTTCAAATCCGAGACAAAAAGTCAAAATGAATATTTCCTAAGACAACGACCCCTTGAGTAATTGCCAAAGAGTGAAACATTGAAGGATGAAAACCTACGATTAGTAACGATAATTCGCAAACGTTATCTCTGTATTTTGTGACTCATATCCTTGAATTACTCAAAATTGCTGTGTTAAACTACACTCTTGAAAAAAATCCCACTTGATCAACGATTGAATTCCATTGTTGTATCAAAATATTAAACCCTTGGGAACTTGTCTTAATTCATCAAGCTACGTTATACCGATCTTTGAAAACTACACTCTGTGAACTACGTGACTTGATCACAATGGTAAAAGCATTCTGATTGGAATATTATGTTGAGCCTCTCTTTGTGAACCACAAAATGGTTGATGCAATTACGTTATCTCTGAAGATTATTATCGATGATCTCATTTGACCAAACAAACTCCATTATGACCCTACTAAGGGAATGTATGTGCAACAACCAGAGAAGAAATGACGTCACAAGGATCAAGCTGAATCATTCAAGCAAAAATTCCGAACCTATATGCGATATTGGTATAAGAACTCGTAAGATTCCTTACTTTATAAATTCGTGAATTGAATCACATACTGAAGATATTTTCTTCTTCCCTCGAAATGAGATTAACCATAGTGCTAAAAACGAACCTGTCATTATCATATCTTGATCGAAGTAAGGAAGTCGAATATGATTAAACAAATACGAGACAAAGCTCAAAGGCGAATTGTCACGAAGGCTCATTAACAGTAATGAGAACTATCACGAAGGTGAACGAAGGAATGTTTCAATACGAGATTGATAATGACTGTACAATGAGTAGTACCTCCTCATAATGTATGATAAATCCCATATCTATAAAATCTTGGACCACGAAAAGCCATTTTATGTTACTTACAAATCATTTCTGAACTATATGAATAATGTGAAGATGTCTTGAATGACTTGGATGATTTCGCTAAAACGTATGGATTGAAACAACCTCGGAATCTCCCACTACATCTATTGTGATTCAAAACTACAAATGCTGCTAAGGGACTTTCAATCAAAGAAAGAATGTTGTTGACTAATGACATACAATCGAGATTTGTGAATGAACGAAATGATGTACAAATATGTCAAGTATGCTCCAAAATACGATGTTATACCTTGCAAAGGAACTTAGGTTATGGTTGTTGAATCTGAGCACGAACCTACGAAATGGATTGTTGGATGCCTTGCCTATTAATCTCTTGAAGAAAGAACGAGTTTGATAACATCGACAGTTTGAGAATACGTATCCGTTTGGATAATGACGTAATTATGGTTTAACCAAATGAACATGACACAGTCATGATAAAGTGAGATCACTACGAAATGTTAAACGTTGACCCTTAGAAGAATTTCGAGGACGAAATTCCTTTAAGGGGGGAGAAATGTAACGCCCCAAAACATACCCTAAAATTTTTAATGAATAAATATTCAATTAGTCAAATTTGTTTCGATTAAAACAAATAGTTATTGGGCTTTGGGCCGAAATGAAATTTGTTTTGATATCCAATACCTTAATCTGGATAAATCTCATAGAGATAAATCCAATATGTTGAGTATTTGTATGGTCTTGATTGGGAACATGAGTACAGACCCAAATCAAGAATAAATAAAGAAATTAGTTATGAAGTGAACTTTAAAATGATTTACTGAAATAAATCGTGATAATAATTAATATGAATTAAATATGAGAACCTTTTTGAATAAAAGTCAACTGAATCAATTTTGACTCTGTCAAAGTCAACCACCCATTGAAGAAAATGAAGCTAATAGTTAATAA